TGTAACAGAGATACTGGATGTATAGGCTACTGCTAGGATTAAGTCAGTTTTTGTACTTTATCAGAAAAGTGTGAGCCCTGTCTGTCCTGAATCCTCTCGTTCTACTACATGATTGTTTCTCAGTCTTTAACAAATTTTGTTGGCAGGCTGCAGTGAGGCAATGGCATAACCCCTTTTGTAATCCAGATGGGGAATGAAAATGCAGAACGGCCACATGACTGACCCAGAAACTGGACTTAAGGCAGCAGTCTGAACGTTAGGCTGTTCTTCATGGTCACAACTAGGAGAGGGGTGACCAAAGGAGAGATTCCAGGTGCTAGAGACTGTGACAGCGGCGGTGCGCAGCACCATTACCCCTATCTCAGGGCTAATCTGATCAGTTCTCTGTGCAGCAAGCAGGAGATCTGGCGAGACAGGATCCCAAGCCTTCAAGCTGCATCAGCCAGCACTTGGACTTAGTCAGGAGGGCTGCACTGAGGAGCAGCACAGTACTGACTGCAGGAGGTAAGGGGCAGAAGGGTGAGGCAAAGGACGATGCACCCCTGAAGTACTCACAGCATGAGCAAGGGATGGGATTCACCAGGTGCAGGACTATGTGGAGCACTGGCTGTGCTTTACAGGAATCAATCTCACAGTCATGGAGCTGGACATGTAGCTCACAGTAGCCTGGACTCCTCTTTAGCTGTTCCCTCTGGCACTCCTCACCAATGGTTTATTGATTCTTCCCTCCCACCCACTGCTCCCCTCAGACCTTGCACACACAACATGTGACAGCTGATTGGTATCTGTTAATTAATGTGGCCTGGGGCCTCTTTTCTATTCAGTGGCCTGATAAGGGAAATTGGATGTCCAAGGGCTGCCAGGCCATTATCACCCTTTGCTTCCCCTGGCAACACAAACACGAAACATGGCGCAGTGATAAATAAATACCACCAACCCACCCTTCTGCCTTCCCTTCCCCAGCTGAGATAGCACAGATAGAAAAAGAGAATCCCACAGTCAGTCAATATAGCAATCATCAGCTCTTTTGTTAATTGCCAACTTGATAACAAGAGAAATCAAATGATCATCATGGTGGCTGGCTACCTAGGCTCCAGTGTGGGGCAAGGAGGGCTGTGGGATAAAGGAGCCCTGCTGAGCCTAGCACACAGCCAGTGGGACTGGGAGGCTCCTGGACAGAGGCTAATGAGCAGACAGGCCTCGTAGTGAGCCCCGAGGCTTGATAAGTATCTGGGGAGAAAACTGACAGGGGAAGCTGCTGGAGCATTGCCCTCCCAGTTGAGGAGTACCCAGGTGTCCCATTCTCTCATAGCCCTGTGAACCTTTAGACATAAGGAGCTGCCAAAAAGCACAGTCCCTGCCTGTCAGTGGTGGGCAAGAGCCACCTAGATTCGACCAACACACCTTGTCTGTATTGGCATCCTGTCTGTACTGGCTGTTGCACAGTGCCTGCCTCCCAGGTGCTTTCATTGTCTGGCCTTCAAGGATAGCTGGTACCGAGGGTGTAACAGACACAGCTTGCTTTCCTATGCACTTTTTTTCCCCCACGTGGGGCAGACAGTGCCTCTGTGTTTTCAGTGTCTCCGCTTTTGCAAGTGGGCTCAGGGGCTGTTGGGGTCTATCTCCAGATGGTGATTGCTCTTTCTGTATTTGAGGAGAATGAGTTGGTTCACTGCTGTGTTCTGGTTCCATTGCTGCTGGGTTTGGCTGTGATTTAGGTACTTGTATGGCACCATAAATGTTTTTCTGACATGGCTGTTGGCTGTGAGGTGCAGAAAGCTGATGGTGTGGAGGTCAGGGAGTGATGAGGAACAGAAGAGGATTCCATTCACAAATGTATTCAGCTTTTGAATACATTTTGGTGCTTTGTTGTGGCAGGACCTTTTTTTCAAGTTGGACAAAATGAGAAATTGTGGTATGCTTGTAATTCAGGCCCATGTCATTCCCTCCTATCCCATCAGAAGCTCTCTTTTCTGTCATCTGGAGCTCTTCTCTGCTCTTTGGTCAGCGGGCACAGACTAAATAGGCTGCAGTACAAAACAACAGAGGAACAGTGAGCAGGACAATGTGGTACAAAACAGTTGCTGCTACAGAAGAAGCAGAGATCATTAAAAAAAAAAGTTATTATTAACCTTGGATTGCCATAAATGCAGTCAGAGCATCAGGACTCATGTTTGAGGCTGTGGGTGGGCATGGGAGCAAAGAGAAGGGTAAGATCCACGTGTGCTGATTGCCACAGAGACCAGGTCACTTTAGTAAATTTTTTTCTTTTTTTAGAGCAGCAGCAATGGAGAGAGTGCCTGGGCTGAATCCCCAGGAAACTAAGGACCCTAGGCTCCTAGAGGCTTTGCTGCACACCCATTTGACCCTGCTTGTCTTTTGCCCTGTCAGGGTTCTCCAACCTCTCCCTTGGGGACCAGATGAGCCTCCTGCAGAGCGCCTGGATGGAAATCCTCATCCTGGGCATTGTGTACCGCTCCCTGCCATATGAGGACAAGCTCGTCTATGCTGAGGACTACATCATGGATGAAGAGCACTCTCGTCTGACGGGTCTGTTGGAGCTCTACCTGGCCATCCTGCAACTGGTGCGCCGCTACAAGAAGCTCAAGGTGGAAAAGGAGGAGTTTGTCACGCTCAAAGCTCTGGCCCTCGCTAACTCAGGTACAGCCCTGGCCCGACCAGCCTTGCAATCAGGTATTCAAGGCCCACACTGTTATCTGGCCTGGGAGGAAACTAGAACCTACTGCCCAAGACTGTGCTCTGCCTATGTTGTGCGACATCCTCAAAGCTCCTCTCACAGAGCAGGACCTAAGCTGGAGAGCAGGGAGAAATGAGGCTTGATTCTGCTAGAACTCCAGCTGTGCTCTGGCCCTGTATTACGGAGTGGAACCAGGCAGGGATGGGCTGGCTGCTGGTTTCTGGCAGTAGAAGAAAGGCTGTGGAGCCCTTCTCCACCAGCAAACTGACTCCAGTGCCATGAGTTCAGAAAAGGGGATGTGGGCCACACTTGCATCCACCTCAGTAGTGTTGGTCAGTTACAGCAAACAGGGAAATCCTGGTTCCAATTTCAAATCCCATAAAAAGCTGTGGGATTGGAACTGCCTGGTCCTGTCCTAGAGATGTTCAGTGACCACAGACACTGAATCCTCCTTTAACTAGGAGACAGTGTGGATCTGCATAGAAGAGGGTAAGACATGCTGGCAGAAGCCTAATGTTGCCTGTTCTGTTTCTTCTTGTGAAGAGGATGAGAAAGGCCAGGGCCCTCAGCCCAGCGCCTTCCATCTCAGTCTGGGGAGGGCTGCAGCCCTCATTCCAGCAGGCTGTGGGAGACATAAGAGATGCTGTGTGCTGCACTGATGTTGCACAAAAGCCAGACATGTATTGCTCAGGAGTCCCTTCTGAAAGGGAAACTGCTAAAGTTACTGTGTGACAAGGGCTCCCTCTACATCCCTTGAGTCTCATTGTCTGGTATCAGATCTTGCTGAACTGCGTTGTGCAGGTCGCAGAATTCACCCTTGCAGCCCAGCAGTGAGTCCAATATCTGTGTTTGGCTAAAGCTGCCTTCCAAAAGACACCCCATGTGAAGCTGAAGGGATTAAAAGAAGGGAAATTTGCATCTTTCGTGGTAGCTGACTCTAATAATGTATCATTCTCTCAGTTAAAAAAAAAAAAAAGGCACCATATCTTTTGACATCAATTTGCCTGAGTTCAACCTCCAGATGTTGGTCTTTGCTGAGCTGTGTCCTGTGATGCCAGGTCTTTTTACATCTGGCAGCTTGACGCAATAAAGTCCCTGTTCCATAGTTGCATTCCTTGGCTATAGATATATTACTTCAAACGTAAGCAAGTGGTCCAGAATGCTGTGAGGCTGCCCTATCCTCACCATTTTATACAATTCTTTTCCTCTTTGCCATCCATACTACTTACCAGCAGCAATTTAAAAGAAAAAAGAAAGAAATTACTTGGAGCTTATTGATAAAAATGTTGAGTAGCATCTGTTTTTTTTCACTGATCCCTGTGGATTTCCACTAGAAAACTCCTCCTTCAAGGATGATTCACCACTGATAGCTATTTTGAGATCTGTCATCTAGCCAGTTACTGATCAATTGAAAGTGTGCTTTATTGATATTGCATATTGCTAATTTTTTAATGAGAATGTCCTGTGGTGCTAAGCCAAGTGCCTTATAAAAGCCTAAGTCTATTATACCTATGTAGTTAACTTTATCAACCAAACTTGTAATCTCATCAGAGAATGAAATGAGGTTTGTTTGACAAGACCTCTGTTCCAAAGTATCGTGTTGACTGGCAGTAGTTGTAATACCATCTTATAAGTCTTAATTGAATGTCACTTTTTTTTCCCCCGTTTTTTTGCACTGGTTCACATCAGGCTAGAACAGAAATTATCAGATAAGACCTAGGAAAATATGTGCATCATTAGAACTTTTCCAGTCATCTTGAATTTCTCAAAAATACCAAGACTTGTTAATCGTTAATCTGCCATAGATGGCCCCCAGCCAGCAATTTTAGAACTCTTAAAGCTAAGTTATCCAGGTCTGATGACTTCTATGAAGTTTGTCCCTAACAGATGTCTAACATCTTCATGCATAAACAACAGACTAAGAAGTCTTCATCATGTTCATATACTGCTTCTTTTTTCTAAACAAGACAGAAACACTCATTGAGGACTTCTGTCTCATCTGTGCTGCTATTAATAGTTTAATCATCTCCAGGTGAAAAGAGCCCCTCCTACAAATGGTTATTTTTCTTCTATTTCTTAAATATTTGTAAAACTTTATTGTCTCTAGCCCTGTCAGCCATGGTTTTTCTTCCAGTGTCCTTCACTTCCCTTATCGATTTTCTACACTTCATAACTTCTGATTCATATAAACTACTATCTAGTTCCCTTTTTCAATTTCTCATATATTGCTTTTTTAGCTCTAATTGCTGCCTTCACTTTGCCACTGAACCAGGATGGGCAGATGGCCAAGGCTGGCTTCTCTTGATTGTGGGACGGTGGCTCTTGGCGATGTAATCAACTCTTGTTAAAGAGCCTGCCTCCTGTCTGCCAAGAAGGTCACAGGATTAAACAAGGAGAAGGGCTCCTCAGAGAGGCTGAAGTGCTACAGTAGCAGTTGTGACAGGGTGACAGGATAAGTGCCACACTGGGACATTTATCTGGCCCATGCTAAATGCACAGCAGAGGCACTGCAGGACCTAAGCCTTGGTGCTCTCAGGTTCCTGATGCTGCAACAGAAGCAGTCTCTGCTGATGTTGCTCACTGTCAGGCCTAAGCCCAGGGTAAGCCTTATGGGACAGTTTGTATCAGGAGTGGAGAAACACTGAGCAAAGCAGAACAACCAGCACTCACCAGCTTCTTTGGTATTCTGCTTCAAGCACTATGGTATAAAGAAACCAAGGTAAGGTTTAGGAGGCACAGGCCAAAGCATGTTCTCAGCTGGATGGGAAAAATCATTCTGACTTCACTGGTTTCTCCTAGTGCAGCTAGAAGTGCAACTATGCAGGAGCATACTCTACAGAAATCCTGCTTTGTTATTCATATTGAAACGTATGAAAGTAAAGCACAAGATCTCGTTTTTCATGTAATTAAAGCCTCCCACAACACACACACATAACCTAGAATAGGGCAAGCATATTCTCGTAATGTAACCTTTACATTCAACGTTCACATTCTTTTAACAGAAGTAAGTTATTTTTCTTAGTGTATTTTTGACTTGGAGAAAACTTGCAGAACCTGCATGTATGTGTTTGCATGCAAACAGCTGATTCCTAAAATTGTAGGAATGCACTCTACATCTGGGCCAGGCCTCAGCTCCCTTGGGTCAGAGACAAGGTTTAAAGCTGAGCACTTACATTAGCACCTGTGCTGCCTAGACCTGCTTTCTGCCTTGCCTCCCCTATAGATAAATTCCTGAATTGTCCCTATCCTGCTGGGTATAGTTGCTCATGCAGCCCAGCTGCTGGGGACTTTCCTCTCTTCCACGCAGCCCTGTGTATATTGACCCTTTGTTTTTAGTAATTAAAACAAATGAAAACAGAAGCGGGAGCTCACTCACTCCTCGCTTGGAAGAGAAGCTGACAACAGGCCAACCTTGCCAGAGCTGTGGCTGGTCTCTGAGTCCTTAGTGTAACACACCAAGGACACACCTGCTGGGACTGGCAAAGATAATTCAAGTGAACTCTGTCTTCAGTAAGTGCATTTTAGAGAGCTGAGAAATAAATTCTTAATGTCCAGAGCAGCAGGCAAGTCCCAACAATATGCTCACCCATTTTTTGACAGGGTAGAGGTGCTGTAGACTTAACCTGTTACCCTTCAGAGCAAGCAGTCCCTTCCTAGGCATTCCTAGGTCTTCTTTCATCAGGAACACAAATCGATCGATCTATTGAAGAGCCCTCTGAGTTAGCACACAGAACATGTTCAGTTAAGTACCTCCCAGACTGGACAAACCTTATTTCCCCCTTTTTCCCCAATGCTTTTTACTCCTGAGACGGAGTCAGCAAGGTCTGGATCTAGCTAGGGGATGTGTAGCAAATTCTGTACTAATGGGTCCTGTGAGGTTCCTGCTCCTGCCAGAAGCTGCAAGAAAGGTGAGGAGGCAGTGGGCCTGGTCTGTTTTCACACCTGCCCTGTGCCCCATGCCAGCAGTGCTGGAGAAGGGCTCCTGACATGAAGCCTGACTTCTAGGCCAGCTGACCCTTGGGGACATGGTCAGGCAACCTCCCTCCACCTCAGTGCTCTGACAGCTGTAAAAATTCATAGCTATTGATTTTGTAATTAACAGTTTATCAATGCCATCAATACTAGCTCACTGATGGATTGCAAGGAAATTAATCCTCCAATGTTATTTTATTTTTTGCAGTCAGCTGCCAATTTTGAGCTTCTTGCAGCAGGGGAGGGGTGGGAGGCAGTGGGGCAGGCTTTGATCTTTATTCCACAATTCCTCTCCCTGTATATGTCTAGTTATCTAGTGCTGTTAAGTAAGTCTTGTCACCTTATAGAAGTTTGGTGGCAGAAGGGCGCAGCATCAGTACCCAAAACCAGAGCACCCACTTTGAACTGAAGCATGGCTCGTCGCCTGGTGCTTCTAGCACCTGCTGGGATCTGCAAACTCTGATGAGCTGTGATTACTTTTCCCCTTTGTGCCTCTAGCCAGAAGGACATTGAACAGAAAGGCTGGAGGAGATTTCTCTCCAAGCTCCAGCTCTTGATGGTTCCACTCTCCAAAATGACCTCTGCAACTTGGCAGGAAACAGATCCCACTCCTCCTGGATGCTGCATGGAAATTTTACAGAGATGCTGGAGAAGTTGCCAGACTGGCTTGGCAGCATGCTTCTCCCTCCCTAATTCTCAGAGTCAACCTAGCTCAGCTCACTGTGATGACCTACCAACCCTTCCCTGAGCTTCTTTGCCTGGTCTCTTGGATACAAAAAGCAAATGCAGAAAGAACAAGCCTTCCTCCAGAGGCTTCTTGGAAATACAATCTTTTAATATCCTCTAATTAGTGCATTCCTTCTAAACAACTTCTTAAACAGCTTTCCTACTAGATATAATATTTTCCCAGCTGTTGTAATGCTTTATAAATAATACATCATAAATAGCATTTACTGTACAGGTATCTTCTGAAATTCACAGTCTCTAATTTGTGTTGTGCTCTCCATAGAGATGACACATATTTCTAGAGATATTTTGGTTCAGCCAGCTTTCCTCCTCTTCCTTCACTGCTGTCACACCGAGGAAGCCATGTCCTCACATTTGTGTTGTGTGTGTGGGCTGAGCCAGAGCACTGCTGCACTGCAAAGCCCAGCTGCAGTGGCAGATGGTGTAACTACATGCCTGTGTGCTTGCCGTAGTGTCCCTTTGCTGTTGTTTCTGGATTCATTGCCCTGTGGCAAGAATCTTTATCAATGGGTTCAGTATCTATTAAAAGTCTCTGAACAATGAAGACCAGGGAACAGTGTCTCCAGCTCTGTCAGGGTTGTAAGAAAGAGGCAAGTATTAGCAAGATGAAAATGAGAAAAACCTTCAGTGATACTATGCTTGGTTAGCTTCTCTCATCTAACCTCTCTGCTCTTTGGTGCTGCCCTCTGTCACCATGACTTACCCACACGTTTAGCAGATTGTGTTCAACTCAGGTTCGCCAGCTCAACCCTGGACTGGATCACTACCAGCTACCTTTGCCTCAGAGACACACCAGGGAGCTGCGCTAGCATCGCAAACCCTGCTAGCCCCTCCGGTAGTGTGTAGAAATGTAACTGGCAGCCCAGGGGAAGAGGCCTGGCAGGAGGTGTGTGTTTCCCTTACTGAAGCAGGAAGTGCCCTGAGCAGCTGCTGGCAGTCTCTGAAAACAGGGGCATGTGCACAAAGGTGGGTCTGGCAGTACCCCTGGGCACACTGGTTGTGACCTACTGGGGCTTTTCTGTCTTGCTGACACCCTGAGCAGCTGCATGGCAATTAGGCAGTTCAGGCAGATGAAGCACTATAGCAGTGTTAATTATTCTTAATGAGATTGCTCCCAAGTGGCAGCACAGCAGCTGCTGCTCCTTGCAGAGTGACTCTCCCCATAAGGAGCATGGAGGGCAAGTGAATGTGCAGGTCACAAAGGCCCCCAGCTGACCCCTGCACAGCCTTGGAGGGGCCTGGCAAAATGGGCAGCACCAAGGGCACAATGTGTCACCTACCCCTGGCAGCCTTACTGTCCCTGCACTGCGAGGGCCAGCTCGGGCTGATGCTGAGCTTCACAGCATCAGCACCAACACCTGCCAGCAAGGTGAGTTTTTTCACTTAAGAAACAAAAGAAAACAACAACCACCCCCCAAAAAAACCAAACCAAACCAAAACACCAACAAAGAAAAAAAAAAAAAGAAAGAAAAGGAAGGAAAGCATCTTTAGTCTCAGAACTATAAAGGATTTTCTTGCTCATGTCTGACTTGTCTCTTTGCTGCCTTTTTTCCTCCTCACAGACTCTATGCACATAGAGGACATGGATGCAGTGCAGAAACTCCAGGACCTTCTCCATGAAGCCCTGCAGGACTACGAGCTGAGTCAGCGCAACGAGGAGCCCCGGCGAGCAGGCAAGCTGCTCCTGACCTTGCCCCTCCTGCGGCAGACAGCTGCCAAAGCTGTGCAGCACTTCTACAGCATCAAACTGCAGGGAAAGGTTCCCATGCATAAACTCTTCCTAGAAATGCTAGAAGCAAAGGTCTGACAGGCCCAGCGCCAGCCAACAGTGGCCGGCAAACAAACTAGAAACAAAGATGCAGACAATGGAGCAATCCAAACAGCAGCAGCAGCCACCGCCGGCTTTTATCTCCAATCATTTATTATGGAAGAGTTATTTAATGTCTGTCTGTCGGCGTGACTGCAGAATCTCATGTACAGGAGGGGGGAAACTCTTTTAATCAGTCACCTGTTTCTCTTTTTTTTCATTTGTTTTCTCAGTGGGAAATAGCAGAATATTCTCTTGCACTTGTTGAGGTAGTCACTGGGGCTCAGCTCCTCTGAGCAGTGGTGCTCTCAGCACTGTCCAGGCTGCCTTCTCCCCAGCTCTCTCTGCCAGTGCTGGAGGGGGACTGGGGACAGAAGCAGGAAGAGAGGAAGAGTAGAGTCAATATAAGCTTTATCTGCTGGTGTTGGGAGGGGTCACATAGAAAGGGAAGCAGCCAGGATGCTTCTTTTTGTCACATTTCTGGCTCTAACTGTAGAGCAGACACTCCTTTGGAGAAGAGCACTGCCGGACCTCTCCTGATCAATATGACTGTCTCCCAGGCTCCTCCAGCGACAGCTAACACTTGTACATACAGGCCCCACTTCTTACCGGGAAAGATGCTCCTAGCTGTGTAAGATATTATGCGACCTTGTACAGTGTGTCATTACACCTGGCTAGTCCCTCCCACGTACAATCCCCACAGGCCCCTGAAGAGGTAGGATATATGACCCTGAGAGAATGCAAGTCTATCTTTCCCAAAGGGCAAGAAAAAGCGAAAAGCACCTGATGTTATGCTTCAGTGCTGGGTTGACTTGATAATCTCTGCATCCTCTCTTATGTGGTGCTAACTACACTTCTTCCACACTTCTCACTCTGTAGCATGTCACTCCTGCCTCTTCAGCTCAGCTGAGTGCCATTCCCCACTTGTTCCTTGTGGCAGAGAACACAAGGCTTTGTCTGCATGGTTACTGCCCCGAGTATAAATACACCCCAAACCAGGGCTTTCCTAGACTTTAATAAAGTCATAGCTCTTTGCCTCCGCAGAGACTTAGGCTTATTGCCAAGTGCTAGTTAGGAATCAAGGGCACCGCTTTTCGGAGGAGGCAGCTCTTGAGCCTGAGAGATTGCTTTTTTGTGGCAGCCTAGGGAAATAAATTAGAGAGTGGCATGAAACTCCTGATATCCCAGCTACTGTCTTCCCCTGCCTCATCCCATTATCCTCAACAACAGCAAAAGAGCGAGCGCAGATTATATGTGGGTCTGGTAAGAGGTTCTCTCACTGATGGGAAAGCAAATACCTGACCTTGAGATGGTGGGAGAAGAAGTGGGGGAATGTTTATTTAGTCCTCTCATGTAACCAGGTTCCTGCTGTCTCCAAGCCCTGCTTTAGCTCTGCTGCCTAAACTGCAACAGCTGCATTCCCCAGTAGCCAGAGGGGAATGTGGGTGACTGACAAAAATGGCTGTTGGCATTCTCTGAGATATTTTTTTTTCTGAGTCACTTAGGTTTGAGCCAGCCTGAAGTGATGAAACCTGAATGTATTGTCTGTTTTGTGGTCAGCAGCATGGCAGTAGAAGTGAGAGGAAGCCTGTGATCTACAGTTGAGACACCACTGTCTCTACTACCTCTGTTCCCCTCAAGCTTCCATCCCTTCCTGGCTAGCACAGGAGAAAGGTGGTGTGGCAGAGGAGTAACTTGCCCCAGGTAGGAAGCCTTCTAAACCAGGGCTGAGGCATGTGGTCAGGGACAGTGGATGCTTGTTTTCTACTGGAGCAGAATGTGTCACAGCAGGGCTGTCAGTGCTGCAGAACAACACCCAGGCTAGCTCCAGAGACTGCGGGGCGCAGCAGCCAGCCTGCTCCTGGTACTTCAGTTAGTTCAGTTCTATCTCCTTTGAGTTTTCCCTACGCTACACAGTTGTAGCTACTCTCATTTTATACTCACTTGATAAAGGAATTCAGGCGCCTTAGGTAAAACAACAGAGACCTAAGGACCAGAAGGCACATGGGAGCTGGGACTGCTTCCATGCTCACAGCAGTAGCAATTACACAGTGGCCTTGTGTTCTGAACAGATACATGTGCTGCTCTCCCCAGCTCCCTCCCAGAGGTAGCTAGGGAGAAAATGAGAGGCTTTTGATTGTGCTCACGATCCCTGTACCCATCTGTGACTGAGAGGGACCAAAGTGAAGTGCATGCCACCACTATAGAGACAGCTTGCCAATGTGCTGCGCCCTCGCAACTCTTTCTGGCTATGGCATAAATGCTCTCACAAATGTGCTAGGTTGTGCTATCGCCTGTTAAGTTTGACTCACTTGACCACTGTTGCTTCCCTGCCAGGTCTCACTCATCTCAGCCACAGCACATTGTGTCCCAACCTGCTGTGCAAAGGTAGCTGTCCCAAAATGGGCTGAAAAGATCCTAAGAAGCAATTCTTACTCTGTTGGACCCTGGCTGGAAAGGTCACTTACAAAAAAACCCAACCAAACAAACAAACAAAAAAAACAACAAACCACAAAACACTTCTCCAGCTTTTTTGTTGTATTTGGACTCAGTCCTGTTTTCCAGAACAGGGGGGAGAACTGTAGAACTATCTACAAAACATGATTATGGAGAGCTGATGCGTTAGTTTCTAGCCCCCAGAGACTGCTGGCTATTTAGAGTAGTGCTATGGTATGGAGGCAATTCCTGCCTTGGCAGAACAATATAAAGATACCAAATGCATTTTTTTTCCAGGACCTTCCTTCTCCAGTACAGTTCCATAACCTTGAAGCTCATCTGGATATCCCCCATTGCTTGAAGATAATATGCCTGGAAATGTTTGCATTGCTTCTGAAGTAGGATGGGAGCTGAACCAGACAGTAATTAGCATATATTAATCTCTTTAAGCAAGGCAAACTTTTCTGCAGGAATGGGGACAAAAAACACCTGTCTAGGTGTAACCCTTAAAAGGCTCATACTATCTTAAATTGGGAACCAGGTCAGGTCTCTTGGGTGCTTCAGACCATTGCGGGAATCACACACATCTCTTCCCAGTTATTCTGATCTGCTGTGCACCACTAGTACTATCATGCTGCCACAACTGAGGAGTATGTCCAGCTACACAGTGAGCTGGGCTTGCAGAGAAGGGTAACATCTTAGTGTAGTCCTCTCAGTGCACTTTGAAGTAGGAAATGGAGCTTCAGCAACTGCTTAGGTCTTTGCATGCTCACAGTCTCTTACAAAAAAGGTCTGGGGATGTGGAAGCTGATACGTGAACTAAGAAATGGGTTCTGGGTTGGTGCCCTTTATGCAGTTCATTTGTAATATAAGAGTCACAGAGCCAGTGCCCTACAGCTGTCCTTCTACGTGGGTCAGAAGATAATGGAGCTTGAGCCTTGGGACACAAATGGGCTCTATGACTTAAAGAAAAGCAAGCAAAGCTGTAGAGGTGTTTCAGTGACAGTGAATAAGCATGAAGCCCCCATCCAGCAACTACAGTAAAATATCTCCAGCCCCTGATTTGCATGTGCGGATAAGAGAAACCACGTACCTGTTGGCTACTGCAAAAGGCAATTCTTCCCAAGTGACCAGCTCTTCTGTTTTGGGCACATTCTTCTCTGGGAACAGCAGTGTCTGACCTGTAATGCAAAACAAATTTCATGGGGATCAATTAAAAGAAAAGGTAAAATACCACACAGAATTAGGTTTCTGGGGAAACTTGGGCATTACACCTTGCAGCAAAATTGTGACGCTATAAGAAACTCCCCCACAACAATCAGAACCTTGCAGTATCGCTTACCCTAAGGGGGCATTATTTTCTCTTTGTAAGCTAAGTCGTCTTCTTTTTTTAAACTATTGAAATAAAACATGCTACACCAGAAACATGTAAGCAGCTATTAGAGGGGAAAGTCATTGAGAAAGACCCTAGAATGTAACTTGTTGAGCTTTTATTACCAATCAGAGCTGAGAAAAAGAGCTTCCACTTTGTATCCACAAGCTATAATCAATCATATGGCCAAAGGCCACTCTGTTGTTCTTGTGGCTGGGTTATATGGAGAAGCCAGAGAGACAGAGGCTGTGAGAATGATGCAGGGAGTTATAGACAGTCAGTGAAATAAACAGTATCTACTTAACTATTATCTGCTCAAAAAAAAAAAAAAAAAAAAAAGGAAAAAAAAAAAAGAAAAAACCCATTAAATAAATTGTATACTTGTGGTACAAGTAATTTCAAACAAAACAAGAAATAAAACACAGAAATGTAAAAACTAACCCAGACAGAGTAATGTTTATTGTGTTTAGGAGCTGCTCCCTTCTGTCCCTCAGGATGCACATAGCCCCACGGAGAAGGCTGGGGTGGGGGGAAGACAGGGGAGGAGAGCCCCGGCCCTCTCAGAAATGCTCATTTGGTGCTTTCCCATATCCAGAAAAAAAAAAAAATCATCAAGCTTTTGAGTGTTTTTGTGAGATTATCTTTGCTGAGGACTGGCTAGACAGGCACTGTTACCAGTCTCTGACGTGGTTTGGTTTGTTTCTTCCACTCACCCATATTTCTCCGCACATTCTGCAACTTCGCTGGTGACAGGAATAAACATAAGCTAGTGATGAAAAAGCCTTGAAGTTGTTCCAGTGAAAAACGAAATCTCTAGTAATAAAATAGACTGCTGGCTTAAACCCAACAGTGACCTCACAAATGCTGCAAGCACTACAGCAGCTGTCTGGTGCTTATAAAATGGTTGCAAGTGCTGAAGTCATGGCATTTGCATTGATCTGGTGGTCAGGTGGTGCAGAAGGGCAAGCTCATGTCTGCGTGAGAAAGTAGAAGGAAATATGCTGCAGTAACTGGGGCAGAGACATGAGAAACAAGGACCCCAGGTTTTTATTCTGACTCTGTTGAGCACAGAGAGCACCACCTCCACACACCTCATTTAGCAAACCCTGCTAAGATCCTTCCAAGCAATGGCACTCATGGGGTGATGCATCTAAACCAAGCAACCAAGAGGCCTCTCAGCCTCCTCATGGGG